TCGAAAGAAATTTCATGAAAGTGGTTTTCTGAGGCCGCTGGTTACGAATTTGACCTCAGATTGTTAAAATTCACAATGGCAGATCCATTATGGCAAATCAAATAATTAAAAAGTTTTATATTTGCATGAAATTTTAAATCGGGAAGTTTTTGAGGTTGAATAGCGGATAAATTATTTAAAAATTACAGTAATGACATGAAATTTCACGCGTAGGAATTGTATTATTGCAATAAATTAAAATAAATTTTTTACTCGCTCTCAGCGCAACCCGGAACTAACGACGAGGACGTGGCGAGTTTATAGTTCCATTTTTTATTTTTTTTCTTTTTTCTTTTTTAATTTTTTTTGTACTTTCTTTATTTGTTTATTTTTTTTTTGCTTTTTATTTTTTTTATTTTTTCTTATAATTCGGTCCGCCATTTTGAATTTTGAATTTGTTTATTTTTTTGGTTTTTTGCTTTTTATTTTTTATTTTTTCTTTTTTAATTTTTTTGTATTTTTTGTTTTTTTTTCAATCTTTCCCTTTATACTATTTGTAAATTGTACTTTGCCATTCACGAATGGTAAAGGAGAAAACAATTCTTAGCCTGCGATAAACATAAAGGCACATTACATGTCTGGCAGATCCAGTGAGATCTGCATTTTTTTTTTGTTGCTGCAATTAGCACATCGTCTTTTGTTGGTAATATACATGGGCATATGAGCAGATTGAGACAGTCTTTTTTCTAGAGAAACTTGCGACTTCTTAGAGATGATATTTTCTATAGCACGTTTTCTACCTTTTATAGTTGGTAATTTGTGCTCCACTAATTGTTGTACAAGCCGCAACCTGAATTGTTTTAGAGTCGTAGGTTGAAAGGCTTTACTTTTATAAATAATGAAAGAATTAATAATCGTGAGATCAACAAAATACCAAAATATTCTTAGCCACCACTTCCTAGCTCTTCGATCTATATTGTAGGATGACAATAATCGATCGGAATAATCAACATATCCCATGTGTTTGTTGTATTCAGCGCACATCACTGGACAACTTACAGATAAGAGCGAGCCATCTTTCTGTCTACGTTGAACTAATGTGCTTTCAGACGGATCGTGGTAATTTGATAAAAAATAAACTGGTTTTTTATCCATCCATTTTACCCATTTTATCGAAGTCCTTCATTGGATGTTCGAAATTCGTATTCCCCTTTCTTTAGTTTTTTTTCACTTTTTGGTAAACCAGTTCGATTTGGCCTCACTGTCCCACACGAAAAAATCTGATCATTTCTCAAAGATATCATAAGATTTACACTGGTAAAGAAATTGTCGAAGTATACATGGTGATTACCACCGATAAGTTCACGAGTTAGATTTTTCACTACGCGAGTTCCTAATTGTTTTTCGGTATTTCCATCTTTACCAGTATAAATCTGAAATTGACATACATATCCAGACTCATCTGATCTTATCCAATTTTTGAATTCGCGTTTCACTGGTTTTTGAGGCATGTATTGCTTCATACTACTGCGTCCTTTGAATTTAATCATGGATTCATCTACTAATTAATATTTTCCAGGTTTCCAACAGTTTTTGAATGACACGCTGAGCTTATCGAGTAAAGGCCTTACTTTATATAATTTATTATAACGCACGTCGCCTTTTTTCGGTTCTTTTTGATTATCATTGATGTGTATATGATTCAGAAGAAATCCAAATCGATTGACTGTCATGAGAGAAGAGATATAAGAATCATGTAATTGAGAATTTGTAGACCAAAAATCCCAATAGTATGGTAATTTTTTGACACCTATCAAAATATTAATCTCTATAAATGTAATCAATTCATTTTTTGTAACTGGCCTTTGCTTACTTTTCATTTGATTTGCATATAAGTTTGTTTGTTCGACAATAAGATCAAGAAGATCTGGAGGAAATAAACAAAACCATATATCTTTAGGAGAATTTGTATTTTCAGGAATGTTTGGTCCGAATGTTTTGTCAAAAGGGATATCTTCATTTGGTTTACTAACTTTACTCCATATTTCATCTCGCTCTGAATCACTTCCTTCCGATTCTTCCATATCTATCGTAGATCTGTCTAAACTTACATGGTTTTCCGTACGTTCTGGCCTCGCACAAAGATATTCTTCATTTTCATCTTCCGAAATACAAATTCCATCAACTGATTCCGGATCACTAGGAATATCCGCTAATTCTATTTCAGAATTCATGTTTTATACAGTAAATGGTAGAAATACTAATAATTTTTCTGTTCATGCTAAGTTATATGCGTCTGTTATACATGTGAGATCTATAATAATCTATTAGCATAATAAAACATATACGCAATTCACCATTCCAAACGCTACTCAAATTCGAAATATGCCATCCAAAACAAATTAATATCTGAATGTATGCGAGCGATTAGTCTAAAATTGCATCGCTGAACATTGTTTACCATATGTAACTCTTTCTTTACAATTGAATGAACATGAAAGTGTTGGTATAAATACGACAAAATTATATAATTATGATAAAATTGTGAAAATGTACTGCCACTTCTGTTATTATATAATATGAATGAGGAATAGATTAAAGTGAATATTTTATAATTCGGTCCGCCATTTTGAATTTTGAAAATATAAGATCAGATTCGTAATCAGCGACCTCAAAAACCCCCGAGTGACACGTTTCTTTCGATTAAAGTGAGTATTTTATAATTCGGTCCGCCATATTGGATCCGCCATTTTGAATTTTGAAAATGTAAGGTCAGATTCGTAATCAGCGACCCCAAAAACCCCCGAGTGACAAATTTCAGCTAAATTCAATGTAAAGAAAAATGTATGCTTCAAAGGGTTAAGAGACTTTAGCCAACTTTATTTGCCATTAATTTCATGAATAACAGCACACCTCAATTGCACCAGTCTCTTAGACTCCTTTTTTGGAATTGTCGAGGCGCTGTAAGCAAAAAGCCTGAAATCGAAAAAATGGCTGAGACATACGATATCATTATATTTGCCGAAACTTGCATGAACTCACGTCATTTTTTTAACATCAGAGACTTTAATTGCATTCGAGTTGATTCTTCCTCCCGATATCAGAAGTATGGCTATCCTTGTCCGGGCTCCTTTGCTGCATACGGTTGTAAATAACGTCCCTAACCTCCTCCCTCATTTTGAAATTCTAGCTATATGAAACACTTTTAACTGTTCTCCTCTCACTATTTTTGGAATTTATCGACATCCTAACGTCCCTGTCTCACGTGTTATTGTCGACTCTCTCTTTTCATTTATCGATACCCAAGGCCCTGTTCTTCTCCTGGGCGATTTTAACGCCTACCACCCCTCATGGGGATTTTCCAGAGCTTAGTACTGCGGGCTCTTACATATATGATTCGACAGACTCCTTGAACTTAGTTTGCATGAACCCCCTTCCTCCCCCATTTTCCTCTCTCACCCTCTCCGATCCCCCTCTACTATAGATCTTATCTTTGCTTCACCGGATTTTGCTCCTGTTTGTAACGTTCTAGTAATACAGGATCTCTTCGGTAGCGATCATTTTCCTATCGAAGTTGATCTTAACTGTCTTGTCCGTTCCTCTAATATCTTCTCTCATAGAATTCGCCTAATTCTGGAACAGTGACTTTGCGTGGCTGCTAAGCTCATTGACCGCACCTCTGACATAGTTAATAATCAAAAGAACTAAGAAAGAACATGGGCAATAGGAGTCAAGCGCGGAAGACGTTGCGCAAATAATACGACTATATATATAAAGCGTAAAACTTCTTTATTTTACTAAACGCGCTTACATGTTTCGGCTCATTTTTTAGCCTTCTTCAGAGACAACATGAACTCACATATATAAAATACAACAAATATTAACTTTTCATGGTGAACTCCCCCGTATCGAGAATATAAATGCCAGAATTAAACCCAGATAAGAATGAAATAAAGAAAAAAGAAAAGAAATTTTGGAAAACTCGAAATAGAGAAAATGAAAAACTAATGTATGTAGTGCCCTTTACTATAATTTTCGGTAACGAGTTTCTCAAGCCTTCCTCTTAAACGCTTGTCTCGATAGAAAACTGCTCGTGTCCTTCCGCGGCGTCCCCTTCCTCGCCAGCGCCTCGCTTGCGCCAACTCCGTCTACGCGGAGGTCGGTAATCTTAACAGTCGATAATTGTCGCGCGCTACAGTTCGGCCGTCCCGATAAGAGTTTGGTCCCACAAACCAAAATATGACACTAGAGCCAATAGAGACTATCTAAAACTAAAAGTTACAAGTACTAAAATAAAATGAATGAACTGAAACATTACATACACCGGATGTTCCGATGGCTAAGAAAATAAATTAATCAATACACATAACCGTAATACAATGGTTTGCTTATTATCTAATTAGTCTATAGGAGGGTCTTTCGAGGGTGCCCATAGCCTGAGATTACTAACGTTCCAGATGCCCTGATATATCTTTTGGGTATTCTGGAATCCTGGAGGATCCGCGATCACATATCTATCGTGTCTAAGGACCTTTACAATTTTGTACGGGCCACGAAATTGCGGGAGTAGCTACCTGCTAGTACCTAGAGTGCTGTCAAAATTGCGAATCATCACTAAGTCGCCCTTTTCGTATTGTTTAGGAGTCTTGTGTTTATTATCGAAGGCTGCCTTTTGTCGGTGTTGTGACTGGTTAATCCGTTGCTCGGCCTGATCGCGCATTGTCTCTAGGTCTCGGTTAGAAGGATCCAGTTTTTCTTCCAACAACTGTCTCAATCGATCCGGGTGCGGGCCTCGCTGGTCTATGCCGAATACTAACTGGCTGGGACTCTTGCCGGTGAACCGATTAACCGCATTGTTGATGGCGTATTCTACCTCGTGCAATATTTTGTACCATGGCCGTCCATTACTGGGATTGAACAGTTTTGCGATACAAGGAGCCAGAACCCGGTTGATCCGCTCGTCCTGGCCGTTTGCCTGGGGGGATCCCACCGTAACCTTTATATGTTGTATTCCTTGCTTTTCCATGAATTCCTCAAATTCTTGTGACGTGAAAGAGCTTCCCCGGTCCGATATGATCCTCTGGGGTTTACTGTAGCTTTGGAAAAATTGTATTAAACAGGCCGTCGCTTCCTTAGTGCCTGTGGTCTTAGTTGCGAATAAACGAACGAATTTGGAAAATGCGTCTACTATCACCAAGACGTATTTCTTCGAGGATACTTGCCTGTCGACCGGCTCGAAGTGATCAATGTGTAAGGTCTCGAATGGTACTCTTCCTTTAGGGATGGGGTTGAGATAACCTTCTCCTTTACCCGAAGTCGGAGAGAACAAGATGCACTTCAGGCATCTTTGAACATGATCTTCGCATTTTTCCCGTATGTGCAGGAACCAATACGTACGCCGAATGACGTCTATCATTCTTCTGAGCCCGATATAACCCATTTCGTTATGATACCGAAATAGAACATGATTCTCCATCTGCCGCGGTATCATGAACAGTGATTTATCCCCATACTTTTTATAAACCAAACCATCGCGCATCTCATATTGCGGATCGTCCTTGGATTTCAGTTTAGAAATAATATCTTTGATGATAGAGTCTCTGTTTTGTAAAACCGCCAGGTTCCACTCAAAAGGGTTGTCCTCCACTACTAGCACCCCGAAAGCCCTGCTAAGCGCGTCTACGTGGGCCATTCTGAACCCCGATCTATGCACTACCTTAAAATCAAAATTTTGAAGTTCGAGACTCCAGCGCGCTATTCCCGTTTTTCCAACGTTTGCGTTACTGCATTACAATCTGAGACACGAATTGAGTACCCTGCAGGTAGATGCGGAACCTGCGAAAAGCATAGACAATCGCCAGAGTCTCTAACTCGAAGCTGTGGTATTTTGCTTCCACCTCCGTCGTGCGACGGCTAAAATAAAACACAGGATGCATAGCATCGTTACTCTGCCGTTGCAATAGCACAGCCCCGAAACCGTGGGAACTTGCGTCACAATGCAGTTCTGTGTACGCCCTCGGATTATATACCGCCAAGATAGGTGA